TTGTATAAAAAATCAAGAGCCCGGGAGGAATTGTATCTTTTGGCGGCAGAAAGGGGGGGGGAAAAAAAAAAAAAAAAAAAAAAAAAAAAAAAAAACCCGTAACTATGAAGTTTGAATCTGACCTCAAACTGATAGTTTGTCATTCAGCCGACTGAACCTACCGAGTTTCTTGACCAGCTTTTTGTTCTTGTTGAGCTTTTTGAGAGCTTCAATGTCCATGTGAGGAAGATCTGCAGCCTTGGCTTCATCGCAGTGCTGCTGGTCTCCCAGGACGCACACAGAGAACTTGGGCCTGGGGAGGGTCTTCAGCCTGCATGTCAACCACAGTGAACCACAGGATAAACCAAAATACAAGAACACTCAACGGCAGAAACACTGATTGGTCATCTTCCAATCTTCTGGAAGAAGGCATCCAACATTTATCTCTAAAATCATAGTCAAATAGATGCATCAAACATCACTTTTTTTTTTTTTTTTGCTCTACAGGAAACCAAAGTGTTGTGAAAAGTGTGATTATCTTTTAAACCATTCGTGCACAGTGATCACCACCCCTATTCAAAAGCTGGTTTCGTCATCTAGATATTCGTGATATACTTACAAACCACATTGCATATCCGTAATTAATATAATTATCAATATTGCAAAATATGGATTTGATGTTGGGAGGACATCCAGGAAGCACAAATCATCCCCACCAGGTGCATTTTACCTCAAATTTTAAACTGGATTCTAACTACACTATAAAACAGCAGCACTTTAACACAAAACTAATTTATTAGTTAGGACATGTAGGTAAAAGCATAAATAAAATAAAAAAAATAAAAACTGATGTGTGAACTGTGGCAATCCATGATCTGTCCCAGAATAATTCTGGGAGGGGATTTTTATTTCTTGTATTTCATTGCAATTGTAAAACAATACCTTGATCATAATTTTCTGTCAAAACATTTTTTGTGAATTGTTATCTTTGAACTAAATTCTGACAATCATTTATTAAAGGAATTATAACATTGTTTGGGTAAAAAGACTGCCATTACAGCAAGAAATATTTGACTTAACGCCATAAATGTTCCGCTTTGTAGATATACTTTTTTTTTCTTTTGTAATGATCCGGACACATTTCTTTTAGTAAATGAGTTAGCGGTATGGATCGAGCTTCGGGGACAGATTGTGGAGTGACAAACTGCAAGGAAAAAATGTCATTTCCAAGATTCACCTCCCTGATTTTTTTTTTTTTTTTTTCTGTAATAAAGAGAAAGTCTTACCCATACCACTGCAGTGGTTGGTGTCCTGCTGACCCTCATGGTAACAGTAACATGGTCGGCATGAGGGCGTGCAGCCACTCAAAGCCTCCCCTCATGTTTTAAGACCCAGGGTCGGGGTCCGTCTGCGTCGCCGACACCAGCCGAAACCGAGTGGGCTCAGTCAGACTACCCAGCTACTTATCCATGCTTGTTCCTGTCCTGTCTGGGCTTTCAAGAATTTACCCTTTTGTTTTCCTCTCTTAGAAAAATGGCTAAATCTGACCTCAGACAGGGTTGGAAGCAAACAGGGAAAAGGTTGGGTGAAACAGTGAAGTGGCGAACCTGACAGTGCCGGAGAAACGCTTGTCCTTCTGAGGATCGTAGTTTTTAAGGCTGATCTGCAGCTCCACGCTCTCCACGAACCTAACAACAAATACATCGTTTTAAATTAGTCTCGTTTTAAAATCTATTTTGCAAAAGTACAAACTTTAACTTCAGAGGCATGCACTTACTTCCTTGGCTTGGTCACGGAGCCCTGCAGGACCTCCTTCACAGCTTCATACAACGTATCCCTGGAAACCTTACTGTACAAAAAAAAATAAAATAAAATAAAAACCCATAAAGTTCATGACTCCTCAGTTTGACCCAACACATTCCGACTCTAGAAAATTAGTTTGCCATATTTTCTTATATTTAAGATGAGCAGGTATGTCTGCAAACATTTCAAAAGGTAACAACTTTTTTTCTGAACATTGTTTTCACCATTAACAAATAATATCCCCTGGAAAAAAAGGCATTCAGATTGCATTCTTTTCAAAAGCAGATAATATAATTAGTAGAATTACACTTTAGTATGATGTTTGAGCAGGACAATCAACCATGTGCGCACTAATAAAATCTTTCAATTTCTTTCTGGGATTTGAGTACATTTTACGATTTAAAGTTTATGAGTGTAAGCAACCGGGCAAACCAACTCACTAATGCCCTTCTGTTTCATGTCCTATCAAGTGTTACCATTTAAATTGTGAAAATGTTTTCTACTGTAACAAGCCCGACTTTTAGGAATAATAATGGAACATTGTCAATTTAGTAATTAAACCTTTTCTAACTAGTGAAAAACGCAGCTAACATTTACCATAGAACAGATGTATGGCTTATTTGTAAAATGTATATATTATTTGTGGTGGAGGGAGCAGCAAACATTAATTGTTGGGATGAAAACCCAGGTGTTAAAGTGAAAATAACGTGGTATATTATACTATCTGTACCAATAAATTCGGTAAGAGCTACTCGTGGGTCGCTGCAAAGCTATGACGCTAAAACTCTTAAAATGGCTTCAAAGTGCGGTAAAAATAAGATGAATATAATCTGAAATGAGCGATGAAACTATAAACCCCCAAAAATCAGTTAAAAATGCTCTAAACCATGCAGATGGATTTGGATGTTTGTTAAAAAAGCTGAGTGACGTTTCCTTCGGGTTCACCGGCTGGCGAACCGGTGGCATGTTAAAGATTTAGATTATTAGAAGAAAAAATACCGAACAAAAGCAAAACTTTCACACTTTAATAAGTTTGTAAAGCCCATACAACTAATTCGGCTGCATTAGTACACACGTATAATCACTGTTAAACGTATTAATTGGTTAAGTCATGCTAACCTCATTTTAGCGGCTTGTCCCCGACGTCGCGCTACGCTGAAAAAGGAAGTGCTGAAGGAAGTTACGCAAAATAAAGGCGCGCTACGTCATTCAGAGAGCGCTTTTTTAAACTAAACTTTATTCAGCCGGTACAATATAACACAGGCTTCACACATCCTATTTATTTAAAAACGCATCAGTAAATAGTTAATTATTGAATAATAAAGTTTAACATCATGTAATTTTATTTCTTCTAATTAATTTGATCGAGCCACCTGTAAAAAAATATGAGTATTGACATTTGAACACTGAAAATGGTGATAGATAGATAGATAGATAGATAGATAGATGATAGATAGATAGATAGATAGATAGAAACGTTGTTCCTTTTCTATACAGTTCAGTGAGGAAAAAATAGCTTTTTTAACCAACTTAAATGTTTTATGACTTAGAAATTTCAGATAAAGATATTATTAATGGTAATTTTTTTTTAATCTGTCCAAAACATTCTGGTGCTTTGAAGGAGGTGATTGCCTTCTAAACCTAAACATTGCTTGTAACATGAGCTAGACCGCGTGTCAAACTTGAAACCCCCACTGTAGCCATTTATGTGGCCTTCTAGCCCCTAGAAGGACACATAAAAACTAACTAAACAACAATCATTGTTTAATCAACCAACAAGAATTTCATCTGAATTCAAATTCTGGCAAAGCTGAACTTTAATACTGACTGTAAATATCCAGGTATTACTTGTTTTATCTATCAGTAAAAATTAGTTGATGTATTGGGATGTTTGCAGGGATCATACTTTAAAAATACAAAAATAGGAAAAATAAATATCCACAACAATTTTTTTTTTAACTTGGGAGGGAAACATTCTTCCCCTCTGTAGCTCTTTGGAAAACCCCTGCTCGATTATTTTTATAAGTAAAAGTAATTCAAATTAAATACTGCTGTCTGTCTGTACCTGCTCATTTGCACCTTCTTATGTCACTTTTGCATATATTAGTAAATACAGCAAGAAAACTTCCAGGCAATTCATGTCTAGTGATGGGTGAGTTGGAACATAATCTGACAATGTATGTTATCCTTTTGGAGTGGATTTATTTTGGTGGTTATTGGCATTAATAAAGTCAAATCTGGAGTCACGCGTCTGGGATTCGTTTCAAAGAAGCTTGAAGTGATTTCTTCAGGAATGTCTCATTTGAGTTCAGGCAGCTCGCCAGAGAGTGTTTCTGTGCAGCAGTCACCTGGAAAATATAGATTCATTCATTTACTAATACAGTGGATTACAAATACCACGTCATCAGTGTAATACAGGACGGGAGGCTTATAGACTTACGTGGCTGCTGTGTTTGGTGAGAACTGTTAACATCATTTTGGCAAATTTCACAGATTTGGTGAAGTGAGGTCCCTGGCTGATGAGCTGTTCTGTGAGCTGTGTGAAAACTTCTTCATTCAAGAGCAGCTGCAGAACAAACACATTAAAAAACAACAACACATTAAAAATAATAATTACCATCAAATGAAAGCAGATATTTACATTCACTTTCCTCGCACTGTCCAATTTTAAATCAGACAATATCCTGTCTTATTTTAGCTTAATTACTTAATTAGAATACAAAAATATTTTTATTGTTGAATAAATACTGAAAGTCTCATTTCTCTAGGGACAACCGTCGTTACTTTCTTCATATTTAAAGGCGTACATACATTTCCTAAGTATTTGGCAGAATATTTAGGAAATCAAACGTGTTGAGTCTCTTTCTACAAGTTTCTCGCAATACTCTGCTGAAATTTTTGACCATTCCACCTAATAAAACTGAGTCTCAGTGTGTATTTTTACACAGTGTATGTGAATATAAGGTCTATTATATGTCCACTGAGTACCTTGGAGTCAAGCAAGCTGTGGATGATGGAGAGAACTGCTTCACTCCAAGGAATCCTGAATGTCATTCTAAAAAAAAAAAAAATACATATATGAATAGATATCACATTCTACACACTGGATGCTTATTTACTATTTAAAAGTAGTTTTTATGTAATTTGTCTCACTGAAGCATCAGCAGTCTGTAGTGTGAATCCAGGCAGCTTTCTATAAGTCTGTTCAGCAGCTCCGTCTGAGGCGGCCCTGAAAACAACACAAAGTTCAAGCAGGAGCCGCTTATTTTGAGGCCAAACACCAACTAAAAAGGTCCTTGACCTGAAAGCTGGTATCAGCTCAGTTAATGTGTATGCAAACCAGGATACCACCTGAAACACAGTCTATACTCAACTATCTCCAAATGCCACCAGCTGCAGATCAGGTCACAAATATTTTGGCCATCACTGCTGTTTTTTTTTTTCTTTTTTTGTTTGTTTGTTTTACGCTACAATTTCTCATTTTTTCCCCCCCATTATTTCTTCTTTCTGTAAACATAAAACAAATAAGGCTTTCTTTCATTACAAGTACTTTTTACGCATAAATTAGACTGTGCTTTATTTAGTGCCAGAAAACTTATGGAAAATGTTTCTTTCATCAGTGCTAATGGTCAACGCATCTGCAGCCAAAACACTGGAGCAGATTTTTGTGCTAGCTCTCGCTGCATATCCATGTCAGCTCACTGAAATAAGCAGCACCACCAGTATCTCACCTATATTCCTGTCCTCCAGAACTGGTTCGATTACCGCACGGCACATCGGTCGCGGATAGCGGCTGCACAGTGAAGTTACCGCCGTTACCAAACACCTGGAGGCCGGCTCTGACAGGGACGAGACCTGAAAGACATGCATGTAAAAAATAAATAAATTTAAGTTCCGAGTGCTGCAGAAACATCACATATACATCTACCTGGCACGTCCAGGGATTTACCTTCTGCAGCAGGATGCTCCTAATGAGGGACGCTGCCGTACTGTAGCTCAGATCAGGAGAGAGGGACAAAATGCTGTTGCACAGCTTAGGCAGGGTGTGTTCAGGTAAGATGGGAAAGTTCAGTGTCTCACACAACACCTCCACCTAAGAAGAACAAATAATCATCTGAAGGCCCTTCAGCCTTAAAAAGGTGTTTATACAGTTATGAATGTAGCAAGTAAATAAAAGAAAGAATGTTAAAATTGATCATTTAGTTATATTACACCTCACACACACTTGGTGCTTTGGCAATGTTATATTGACTCCATTTGTGAACAGAGCAACTGAGATGAATAAAATCTGCAAAAATATATGAAAAAAAAAAAAGAAATCTTTCTGGACTTACTTGGGTTGGGTTGCATTCGTTTAACACTTTGAACACATCTGTGGCGCTCTGGTCCCACTGAAAGAGAAACGACACAAAATACTTACATCTGCACCAAAGTTCACATCAACTCCATGAGGGAGAAAACATTGTTCTTACCTCAGCCTGACTTTCCAGTAATTCTTTCATGTGAAGAACAGAGCCCTGAGTGGGCAGAAAAACAGGCAAGTGAATTTGATTTGGCCTGGTTTCTTTAAATAGATCGTGAATATCATTTTAAAAATGCATCGAGTTTACAGAATGAAAAAACTGAATAAAAATGTCAAGCCTCCCTCTCCTCACAGAGTTTACCCTGATGTGTTCAGGTAGACCATCTTGCGGTCGGTCTGCAGGTGTTTCAGCAGCACTTGCAGACCCTCCTTGCGTGTCCATCCTCACTTCTTCGTCTTCTGCATCTACTGGCTCATCAACGTGCATGTTGTCCATCTTCAACCTTTTACTCTCCTGCACCGCTTCCTCTCCATCTGCATCCACGTGCGCATCAAAACTGGCCCGTCTTTTCCGCTGTGTCCCATGCTCGAGCAAATCACATCCGCAATAGGATTCGGATTCCTCTGTTTGACTGTTGAAGCATTCGGCCCAACCTCCAGCCTCACTAGAACCTCCCAAATTCTCCGATAGCTGCTTCAGTTTCTGCCTGCATTGTTCAGAGTACAGAGGATCCTTGAAGTTCATCTCCAGTTTCCTCTCCAGCAGTCTGCCCAGAGCTCTCACCCAGGGGCTTGGACTGGAGTCCTGAGCAAGACATCTGAGCAGCAGCAGGACGGTGGGCCCAGGAAAAGCAGAGTTCACCAAGTAGAGGAAGATCAGTAGGTTCTGTTTAAACACTGGTGGAAACAGGCAGACGAGCGGTTTGCTAGAAAAGATTTTAAAAGCGGAAATAGAAAATATACGTGAATTACTAGAGAAGTGGAGATTAAGAGATGTTTTAATCACGGTTGCAAAATCTAAGGAAAACATTTCTTGCACAAGTATTACGGTGTTACTTGTGATTAACCCACATGCAACCTTTTCTTTGAGTTAGGCCATTAGTTCTCTGTATATTTATAATACTTTATTAAAACAAAACAAGGATACAAGTTGTGCAAGGATTGCAGCTCTAAATCTCGTTTCAAAACTGCAACTTGTCGAAGGTTAGTTTTCATTGATTCTTGAATTTAGCACATGGTTCTGCATACATTGTACTGCAAAAGCATTCACAATCCTTAAAACATTTCCATCTGTCGGAATACAACCTCTTCTGCAGCTTACTTCTCACTTTCAACGAAACTTTTAATGTTTTTTAAAGATTTTTAATTCGGGTATTTTGTTTTTTCTCCCATAGGATTTTCTTTTTAAATTTTCCCAAACAAGATAACACCAATAGTAGAATGAAGATCTATTTTTAGGCCTGGTGTTCTTGGCATTATTTTCCTGCAAATTTCCTATTGCAGACGGAAGTTTTTTTTGTTTGTTTTCCCCCCCAAAAGGTCAGGTATATAACGGAGATTCGTATTTATGTGTGGCTCTAAACGAGTTTAATTTAGCCGGACTAAGGGGAAAAGTGGCTCCTTGTAATTTTAAAGATATAATATCCCTGATATAGGTCAAAATAAAGCAGAAAAATATTTCACTGCGATTAGAGCTCTAGTCTTTTGGAATATTTCTACCAGCAACTTATAGATTTACTTTTTTTTTTTTTTTTTTAGACAACTTGGACAGGGATCGTCTGAAATAAAGTCTGGCTTCAGCTTCCTCAAAAACCTGCACAAATGTCATGTTGTGCAGCAACACCAGCAGGACTGACATGAAATGCAAAGCAGACAGTTTGTTAGACGCATGTAAGAAATATTTAATCTTTGAGTTTGTAGGGAGTAGTGCCGTGTACTTACACTGAAAGTGTCAGCGCTTCAGCTGATGAGGTAATTTCGTCTCTGCAAAGCGTTAGTATGAAGTTAGTTAGGGTAGACTCCGAGTTAGCCCGCTGCTGTCTCTGGAAGACCGTCAGGGCGGCTTTAGCCCCGGAAACTCCGGACATCAATGTAGTGAGCAGCAGCCTGGACTGTCCGTCAAACCGGCCCAGCAGCGTACTGGTGTCCACACAGGCAGTAGATTGAATAGATAATCCCTGTCCACAGAAATGCCGTCTCCCCGCCATGAGAACTCAAACTATTCGTTTACATATTTGACTGTAAAGTTACACAGCGCCATCTACCGTCCTGGAGTAGAATTCTCTCATTACAATTTTCCCCTTCATTAGCAATTACAGGTTGAAACATTCCTCCACTTCTGAGTAATTGGATGGTATTTCAAAGTAAACCATTTATCTTTAATTATTGGTACTGATAAAGAACAAGGCATTTTCAGTGAGACAGGTGATAATTTTTTATTTTTAGTGTACATTCTTTTTAAAAGTAATAAAAGCCAAACATGTTATATTCTTGCCAAAAACTAGGAAACGACAATTAAGTCTTGAGGTTGGCCCCACAATTGAAGATGTATATTGGCACATTTTTTACTTTGACAATTAAAACCCAACCACACAATGTTTTAAAAGATCAAGATTGCCTTCAGTGAGTGGAACAAATTTAAATTGAGCAATCAAATATGGGGAGAGGTTAAGGAAGAAAGGCCGAGGTTAGGGAAGGGGGTAGGGCTGAACAATCACATGAATCAGAGCTTTGAGAGGGTAAACAAAAAAAAGAAAAAAAAAATCCTCAAACAAACCAATGTCAACAAGATCAAGGGAAAAAACATAAGATGCTTTCAATTTTCCTTAGACCCACATCAGACTACATGTGCAAACACCAGTACAATTATTGCTGACATCCACCCCCCCTTTTGTTTCAAAATCCTAAATAACTTGGCTTCTGTGATCAAGTCAACAGTCACAGATTCAGAGCCCTCATACCCAATTCTGATAGAAGGCTACTCCAAAGCTGGCTTAGTACAGACTACAACAGAGACAGTGGTCAAAGGTGGATTGACTCTGTATTTTAGACTACCAAGAAAAACATAATGCTTAAAACCCGTAATCTTCAGTTAGGCAAAAGAGAAGTTCTTCATCCGCTTCTTCACCACCAAGAAGGCTCATGCTTATGAAAAAACCAAGCAGATCAGTAAAACTGTCATCCTCTTCCTCCGAGAGGTACTGTGAGGAGGCAAAGAAGGAACATAAATACGCCACCTTGGAAAGCACCTAAAGCATATTAAAGCACTGCGCTCTTACTGAAAACACTGGACTGTTAGAATCTGCCACATGCCGATAGAGACACTCCTTTTTGAAGGGACAGCATCCATATCTGTCATAGAAGCAGCATCTCTTCTTACTGGAAAGAAATACAACACAATCAGACTGATCAGTTACCGTTTTCATTGACTAAAAAAAATAAATAAAGCTCAGCTTTTACCATCTGCACTTTCAACTCACTACAAAAAGGCCAGGTATAATACACAGGTACTTTGTGTTTCCAAATGCATCTGTATTTAATGGCCACTCAAAGACCATTAAAGTATTAGACATACTACTAGTATGTCCAATAAATGTCCCATTTTCAAACATTTAAAATACAGCTATGGTACCTAGTATCCATTCTTAAATATGTCCGGAGAAATGCCATCAAGAAGGTAAAAAGAAAATAAGGTACAACAGGCTCATTGTAAGGGTTTATAGGCAGCAACTGAGACAACTATAAACTTAAATACATTGCAGACACTTAAAGCTGATCAAAAAGTTGCATTACAGTTGTGTAAACTGGTGAATTATTTTGAGTGCAATCAAAACAGCATCTTACCCAAATTTTTTCTTGAAAGCACTAATTACATTTTCCTTCTCTTGACCTTCCACCCAGTATTTATTTGGCACATAAAAAGCAGACCTGACTCGACACTGAGGACAAGCCCTGCAAATACATAGAGGTCAAAACACTTGTGAAGGCAACTTTAATGAGCCGTCTTAGCAAAGACCTACCTTACGACGTCAAGTCCGATGTCTTTTGTTTTCCTCCAGGTCGCGATGCAGTCTAAACAGAAGGGATGATTGCAGTTTGGCAAAATCCCAAAGACCCGGTCTCTCTGATTCTCCTTTTCATAGACTTTGTCCATACAGATCCCACAGACCACATTTTTGCTCTGCAGGAAAGCCAAAGTTTCTTCACTTTTTTCATTGTAAGCTGCTGAAGCTCCATCTTCATGCGTCTCAGATTTAGAGGCTCTCTAAATGCACAAACAGAAAATAGTCACCACCAATTGAGCCTTTTTTTTTTTTAGATTCGTGGTATAGAGAAGGATCCCCATCTACAACTAAGCCATCAAATCCAATACCAACCTCATATCTTCCCTCCCATGCACTTGCTTGAGCAATATCTGAACTTGGGGCCGACTCCAAATAATTTTCTGCCAAAAGAAATTGGGGAACAGTATTAAAATGTTAACTAATGACTCAATTGCTTGTATAAACCTCCTGTACCTTGTGACAGCTCCTCCAAAACATATTCTGGCAGATGCCCAGTTTCTTGCTGAAGATTGAAGGGATAAATTGCCGACTGTGATCCACTGCATCTCTGCCTGGATGGGAGATTAACGCGCCAAAGAGTTGGTTCTGACCCTCTTCTTTCAGAGTAGTGGGGCATACCGGAGGGGGAGGCTACAGGCACTGAACCCCTTCTACCTGGAAACACTGGTCCAACTTGAGGCAGAAGGACATGAAAGAACCTAGTGGCGGGAATAAATGAGCTTCACAGTCCTTTAAAAGTTCAGACAAAATAAAAACGTACAAATTCCAACTTGTGTGCGAGTATGTCGGCTGGGGGTTACCTGCACCGTTCACCATACCAGCAGCCACCTTTCTGAAAGTACCGACAAATCTGGGATGCAGGTATAGGGGTGAACTCATGTCTGTACTTGCATCGTCGGCCAAATCTGCAAGAGCCATTTATGAAGCGCCTGTGCAAAAAAACAAAAAAATAATTATTAATGTAGCAGCAATTTACAGTTGGAGGAACTAAGATGTAATGCAAATGTGTGATCAATTTATAAACTCATGCATTTAAGACCACAAGTTATAAATACATGAGTTAGCTACATAAAAAAAAAAAAATTACAAATAAAGTTGCCGCAGCAATGTCCAAATATGATTGTTTATCAGAACTGATTCATTTCCTAGTCCCAAAGTAAACAAACGGCTTTTTCCATTTTCACCTACCGGCTACATAAACTACTGCAGCAAGACACAAAAGAGATTTGGATTCAATGTCCCTTGCGTCCCATTCATTGATTCATGATGTGCAGATGTTTTCCTTGAAATCTCCTCAGTTTTATAGATTCATTTCTTACTATGCATTTTATCTTTTTACCATATATGCAGTTAATTTATCACACTATGCCTGTGGTCACCTCTGTGACATTACCCAGGTCAAGTACAAAAACTTAATTTGTAGAACATCTACAAACGGGCTCCAGAAACTGAAAGGTGTGTTGTGCATCTCAATTTACAGTAACTGGTGTAGATGTCATTCCGCTTCCTGCTCGGATGACAGGATCATTGACAGAGCAACATGTTTATTTGAATGAAAAGAGGAAATCTGAGACAATCAGAATGATTTTAAAGCCAGGAACAGATTGTTGTTCTTCTGGTTAAGCCAAAAATATATTCATGATATTTGCTTCCAATAGAATCTACTAAAAAAAAAATACTGGAGAACATTTTATGAAATTTAAGTGTCCACTAAATTAGACTAAACAAGCATTTGTGGCCATCATGTAAATTTGAAGTCAAAACAATCACTTTTCAGTGAATGTGAATCTTCCAGTTTTACCCTTCAGGGGTCGCCACAGTGAATCACGAGTCTATATTTAGTCCCATCCTCTGCATCCTCACATCAACCAACTTAATGATCTCTTTCAACACGTCAATAAATCTCCTTTTTGGGCTTCCTCTGAGCCTTCTGTCCGGAGACCAAAACCTTCATTTATAGTCAGAAAAAAAAAAAAACTTACCCAAACTCTCAGTCTGGCCTCCATCTCCAAAACATTTAATATGAGCCGTCCTCCTAATATACCCAGTTATGACTCCATCAAAAAGGAAAGCCTAGTCCTAAAAATACTTAAACACTAAAACCTGCTCCCCATCAGCAGCCATGTAGCGTTTTCATATTCATTTTCGTTCCAGAAAGAAGTCGTTTAGGATTATGTTTTAATTAGCGCACAGTTTTAAACCAACGTACCCACAAAAATTTGATTAATTAACCCAATTAAGTATTTGATCTCGTTTTAAACCTAAACATTCGACGCTTGCACGGACAGAATATCGGTGTCATGGAAACAATAACGGCCAGCAAAGATAAAATGTTTTAACGGTTTGATATATATATATATATATATATATATACACATTGTCTCAACGTAAGGACAAGGTAGCAAGAAACATGGGCAGTTTAACAATTCAAACAGCTTTTATTGTCACTCAGTTTTGAACTGAATGTGAGGTAAAAGTTGTCCAAGTATGGCTAGCTTACCGTAGTACTGACAGTGTGAAAATACAGCCACTTCTAAAATGCAAATTAGCCCTTCATATTTTTTTTGTCCATTGTGTGATTTCATCCGCTTACCTACAAATGTTTCCACTACGAACCGAGTCCATCCTGTCAACGCGTTTTTCTGCCTCTTATTTTTTGAGCAAGCCGCCAACGGAGACACCCTCCTTCTTTCCTCTCTAAATAGCTAACAGCTGTTTTTCCCCACTAATTACCATGGCAACCGACCAATGGGAACTTGAACTGGGCGGTTCTACGTAATGTGCGCAACACTTCATTGGCCAATGCATGTGTCAGTCATAACAGTTCCTAACGGCATAAAGCACATGCACCGTTAAAAAGGAGAGAAAAATCAGTGTTTTCATTTCTATTTTATATGTGAGAAATCACTAAACTAAAAAGTGAATATAGGTTATACATGTTACAATAGGAAAATATTTCAAGTTCTACTACATGCTTCTGCAAACAAATTATTCAACCCATCATTTACAGAGGTAGCTTTTTTTTTGTTTACACTTTGTGGTGTAATTTCTTGCTTTATCAGATGTCTGCGGTAAATGGATTTTCTTATTAGAAACCAGTAATCAAAAGACAACTCCAAAAAAAAAAGAGCAAATATATATTATATTTTTATTTTAAAATGTGCCTGTTTTTTTTTTGTTTGTTTGTTTTTTGTGGTCAAAAAACAACAAAAAAAACTTTTAAAATTCCCAAAACAGGCATCTAAATGTGTGACTGCTGCAGTGATTTTCGGAGGTGCTGTATCTTACAACTTACAGGTATTGTTCCACATAGCTCATCACCACAAGCAAACAGGAATGGACACGAATATATGAAAAGAAACTATGTATAAAATTTTGAAGGGTTTGGATGAGAATACGTGTTTAAAAAACAACTAACTGTTTGAGCCACATTCATCCCTATAGCTAATGACGTCACGCAGTGACGCATATTTCTCGCACATGTTAAGATGCGGAAGGTGAGGAAAATGAGCATTTAAAAAAAATATTTCGCTATCTTAAATATAACAAAAACGTACATCTTTTTTTGACCACAACAATAGCAAAAATTAGTTGTACTGAATAATTCGCATTTTAAAACAAAAATCAAATAACTCCTCATTCCTCCCCCCTTCCCATTACTGTTTTCTGGTGAGAAAATCCAGTTACCATGACATGCACCGACCCAGCCAACATCCTTTGCTTTGCATAGCACACTTGACGTGAGCCAATGATACACAATTTTGCAAGGTGCATTAATAATAGGGATTAAGGCAAAAATAAATGTCAAAGATTCGATAAGACAGTGAAATATTCATACATTTGGAGGTAGATGGGGATAAAGACAAAAGCACAAGAGACTACTGAAAGGTGAATTGCGTAAATCAGAACTGGCAGAAGAAAGTCAAAACTGTCAAGCTGCAACATAAATCAGACACAAAAGTGAACAGTACGTTTGGGTTGTGTATATCTTGAACACAAAAGTTCAGAAGCTGTGTTAGACTTTCAATTATGATAGAATCTGCCAGTCACAATATAATGGTTCTGTATGCTGGTTTCCTATAAAGTCCTCCTGCACCATGGAATTCAACACGTTCATGTTCAAGAAAAGCTTGTTGGTTTGCATTATGATATATTTGGTAAAACCTAATCTAAACAGGTAGGCATGGATAAACAAATATACTTAAATCCATGAAATGGCATAATTCATAATTTGCTCTAACAGTATCGTCAACAAACACAAATAATTTGTAACATAATCACAGAGAAATGCACCAACAAAACCGGAGAATGGCAAGTTCAGGTTCCCACACGAATGAAAGAAAGCTTGCTGTCCCTCGTACTTTTGCAAGTCACATGTTTATAGTGTCAGCTAAGTTGAACTATTTTCACTTGGGTCAACGGCTTTTAAGACAAAACCTAAATGAGTTGGATTTCACATTTATTGACAAACAGAAATGTTATTGCACAGACACTAAGAGAGCTCTACACTGCTGGAGCCAGCCCCAGTTTGTGTTCTTCAAACCAAATGGCAAGGTGGAAGGGTTAACGACGACGATGATGATGATGATGATGGTGATGATGTTGTAAACAAATACCAATTTGTGCATCTTCGGTTGTAATACAATTCTGAAAATAATTACAATCACTCTTTCTAAAAAGAAAAAAAAAAGAACCCTGATCTCCCTCTTCCATTTCAACTGTACCACTGGCGTAGGAACATGAAATGTTTTCCCTTTGCAGCGGAACGCAAAGCACGGATGAGCGAGGAGAAGTTCTCTCTCACTCTCTCTCGCGTTCTCTAAACACTGCTCTGGGGTCAGCTTTGCTATGAGGATGAAACAGGAGCAGCCTCTTTAAGAAAACATATCACTCTTCCTGTTAGGTGGCCGTTGTGGGAAACTAAGGCGTTTTGCAACAAATGATTCCAGATGCTCATCGTGCGGTGAGAGCAACGCTGATACTGTGGGATCTTTCCTGATTGTGATAGCCCTAGCAAAGTGAATTTGCTTCATCTGTGAGTTCAAATCCATGCCAACGTATGGAAAACAGTGCTTTCACTGAATGCAGTGTGTTATTATATAACCGAACGATTCTGTTTGTAACAGTATTGCTTCAAAAATCAGTCTGTGGAGATTTCTCTAATACATGTCTTTGTAGATCTCCTGTAGTAGAGGGTGGAGCGAGGTCTCCGACTCAGTCTTTTTGATCTTTTGGACGAGCTGAGCGTTCTCCGTGACCAACTGGCGAAGGTCGGCCATCTTCTGAAGCAGCTTGGGGAAGAGGTAGAGAGAGTCAGAGTGGTTGGCTTGGAGGTGGAGGTCCAGGGCCTGGAGGATGCTGTCCTGACTTTGCTCCACCTGCTTCACGTTCATCAGCCCGGGACGATCTAGGGGAACAGGAAGATATTTTACAGTAATCGACAACCCAAGACTATCACCGTGATACAGATAAAGCAGAGATTACGTGACATTAAAACCTAATTCGGAGAGCAGAAGTTGAACGTTTTGACTCGCGTGCATCTGCTTCTCTTTGGCTGCACAAACTACAAAATGCTCAATCCTGCATGAATTTTGGTGCAAGTCACACCATGAGATTCTTTAATTTTTGTAGATATTTCTGTCGGTGTGAAAGAAATCAATTTAGACTCCCATCTGAGCAGCTTTTAGTTCAGGATTCAGTTTATGCGGGCACAGCTGGTATGGGTCGTGAAGTCTTAGCAAACCAAGCATGCGTCAATTTTCCAGACTCCAATTTTTATCATATTTTCTGGACATTTAAGAACAAATAACTAACTTTGAACTTGGCTGAAAAGTGTCTTATGGTTCTTCAAGTAATGAAGCAACAAAATTAATCCGAACTGCAATATAGGACTGTTTCACTGTTTTTATCACATCTGGACTAACTTGCAGCAGCTCTCTGTTACAAAATACTGGACTTGGAAAAAAAAATTAGAAATGGAAGATCCTAAAGTAAATACAGGTTATGTTTAGCAATGTTTGTGAACTTAGTAAATAAAAACTGTTTAGAGAAATTCCAGAGAAACAGTTGAACTTCAGTTATTTTAACACCAACCAGGGAAGTGAAATTGCCCTTTTATTTGCTTTCTGAATGAGTCATCAATCTGTAAAATATCTGAATCAAGCTGGTATGTGGCAAATCAAATATAAAATCATGTCAATACAATACAAGAAAACCTTCTGCTCTTACTCGGCATTAGCAGATTTCTGCCATTCAAACAACTTTCCAGCTTCAGTTTTTTTAGTATTTATCTGGATTCTTAGTATTTATCTCCAGACATCTGAAGACAGCAAATCAACACTGTTTAATGTTTCAATGTCACTCGCAGACATCAACTTTGTCTTCATAAATTAATTGTCAAGTTCAATTCACATTTTTATGAGTTAGTTTGATTGAAGGTTGTAATATACACACACTTATCAAATTAATATCTTTGTTGAGTATTATTAATAAACTTTTCATTCGACCAAGAAGTCTGTTTATAATAAGAAAATTATATTAGAGAAGGTATCTTTTAAAGCAAAATAAATTTAATAATATAACCTCATTATAAATTATATACTGACATCATATTGCATGAAGATATTGCATGTTAAAAATTATTATACCCTCCCGCCCCCGTCTCATATTGCCCTCATTCTGTTCCTTTTAAGACTGAAATGATCTGAAGAAGAAAATAAGTGAGTGGAAGGCGTATCCGTATCAGAGAAAACATAAGCCTCGAATCTTTAACCTTACACCGCTTTAGTCATGCTTGAACTGTCTTCGTTTGAATTTTGAAGACAGCATCGCCACCTGCTTGTGCAACATATATTACTGCATTTCTGAATGTCCAGATGTATTAAAATTATCTAGAGTAGCATAGCTGAAAGGATAGTCTGAAAAATCCATGGCAATCTGGCGTAGAAAAGTGATCCTGGACCATCATTTACTAATATTTATGTATGCCATATCAGAACAAAGTCGAGCTGCAATGTTAACATCATGAGGGTTTCAACAGTTTTGTCTTCCTGTACAGACATATTTTATACATCCTGTCTGATGGAACATAACTGCTTTCGTATGTTTTTTTTTTGTTTTTTTTTTATACCAGAAATAGGGTGGATTCAGGATGCAGAAATTGTGTTGATCTAAGTCAAATGCTGTGTCAGCCATTTTTGTTTTTTTTTATTTCTTTTCACACTCGTGCCAGAAACTCTTTTCCAAGACGCTTCATTTTCATACAGCGGCAGAAACGTCAAAATCTGAACTGTTGTTGCATTTATTCCTACAGGAATCGAGAGATCCAATGGGCAAATCTGTCCAGACCAGACACAGAGAAACGATGCCAACGCTTCTGAGAGGAAGCGTGGAAGTGGTTTAGGTCATTCAGCGTGGATGTCACAGTTAAAAAACACACACTGAGGCTCTTTGTTGACTTTATAAAAAACAGCTGCCTTACTCAACAACGTTGACGGCTTGCCACCAAAGGGAGACAAGAGGAGGGACCACAGCGAAGTGGGGCAAAGTCAAGAGTTTAGGACTGTTTAAAACTTGTACAAATGCCAACATCCTGGCCGAGAACCTTAGTACTGCAGTAAGAACTGGTGTTTTAATCAAAAACAATGTTGGGGCCCACTCAAACTCTTGAAAGAGATGCCAATACTGGCTGGGATTGAAGAGGACATTTTAGAAGAATTTTAAA